TGTGTGACTTCATTGACCTATTTTGCCCCATAACTTCCAACAATTAGGTAAGCAAGCCGCTGGATTTTTGTTAGCCACTATTAAATATTATCAATTCATGTACTAAAGTGCCCACACCTTCACAACTCTGAAAAATAAAATAAAAATTATAGTAACATTTTCCAGCTGCTAACAACCATCATATTTATCAATAATTAAACTAATTAAATTACATGCCCTATGGTCGGAATGGACTTTCATAAGAGTAAGACCTTTCTTGAGTGGCATGGGAAATTATATATTTTAAAAATTGATAAAATGGAATAAAAGTATTATTAAATTTGATATTTTTTTTCCTTTTTATTTTTTCACTCAATAAAATTGAAGTGCCGAACGCATTAAAAAAAAACTAGAGGATGCCGTTAAGGCTATTATACATGAATTTTATTTATATTTCTATATATAATAATAGAGATTTGAAAAATATTCATGTAGTCATGACCCCTCGGTGCTATGCTGCTTTCGCCGTGTGTGTGTGTCTATATATATATAATAAATTTAATAAAAAATCGAAGATCTTTTCGAAACCAATCAATGAAAATATATCATTTTCAATGTTTCGTATCACTTTCTCAAACTAGTTCTTTTGGAACCCTAATTTTCCCCCCTATAAATTTAGTAATTTTTAATTAGTGTGATGTGTATTGGCCCTCACATGCTAAATATCTTATAGAGTGGTAAACTATTTTTATATTGCTAATTAAATCCAAGGGTAAATGTAAAACCTATGAACCAAAAAACCAACATAACTATTATTGGAACAAGTTGTATATATATATATATTCATCACCTAATTAAATAAATAGATATAATTTTGTTAGCAAAGTTATGAATGCACCTTAAATCCTGGTGAAGTTTGTTTTGGTACAGTTTCAGCTATATCTATATTTGTGTCTAGGCTCACGTATTTCCAACCTGGCAATTGCGGTGAAGCCACCAGGCAATATATTAATATTATTATTTTTTATATTTATACGAAACAAAAATAATATCAGAACAATCACGTTTAATATATTTTCAAAAATTATTTAAAAAAAAAAAATCATTTAAAGTTCTAGTTAAAATACCAAAATCATTACCGTCAATATTGAGTACCTACGATTAACCACTTAATATAAGTTGCATAAACAGAAAATAAATTTTAAAATGTATAGTGCAATTAAATATGTTTTAATAATCAATTAATTGCGATTAGTTAGTTGTGCTAAACTTTGTATGGGGTTTCTGGAGATTATGGCCCAAATAAGTGCATGTGGGCACTATAAAGAAACCAAGTCCATATAGTTGGGCCACATAAAAAAAAATCTCATAAATTCAACTACTTATAAACTACGTAGCACGTAAACTTTGACTTATTAATGTTTTCGCGTTTCAAACACGTTTTATGTCGGACACTGACACCTTCCGACACTTTATAAGCCATTTTGCAATTTCTAAAAAGTTAGAAACACATTTGAATAACAAATTATTGTGTGTAGACACAATCATGGAGAAGTAATTAATCTTCGATTACTTCTCCATGATTTATTCAGAATTTCTCGTGACAGAAACTACCAAATTAATGTGCTTAGCCACAGTCTTGGAGAAGTAATCGTCGACGAGTTCCCCATACCTCCGGAACAATTCATCCAATATTTCTCTTCCAAAATGCGACTCTACCATTGATTCAACCACCGCCCTAATAGTTATAGCCACCCGTTGACCCCTCGATAGTTTTTCATGTTCAAAATCGCATTTGTCACACGCGCTATCGCTACACGCACTTGAACCTTCATCCCAATTTACCTCAAATGCCTCTACATGATTGATGGAGAAAGAACCTTCTTCCACTATTACATTTCTCACTTCTTGAGGAGATGGCGCGTAGTAGGGCGCGTTAAACGAGTCGATTCTATCTTCTTCAATGAGACCCTAAACACAAAAAATATATATAATAAATAATGTGAAATTCCAATAAGGGACAACGAAATATCATAATATTCATGATTTTTCAATATCTTTACCTCCGAGGCCATACTAGTAAGAGCTGAGCTAGAAGCTCCCACTGATGGGATCCCACTTCAGTGGAAGCTTCCGGCGAGATGTGGCCCATGAAAGACAGTAGCATTCGGCCACCGGCCACCATCTCATGGGCCCGCGATCTCAGAAATAGAAAGAAATCTTTCTCGAATTGTGAGACGTATGCTTTCACTACACAAGGTGGGCTTGTCTTTGATATATAAATCTTTCCTTTGTTCATGTCTAGAGAAGGTGGAACCTGCATTAATTGATCATATGATTATTTTAATTTCCACCATTTTCATATGTAAAAAAATCGATAGCAAATGTTGCGGAACGAAGTTTGGAGCTCGGACTCGAGTTCACTTTAAATTGTTCATTTTTTTTTCTTTATTAATCGTCATATACATATATTAATATAAGAGCAACTCCAATGAATTATCAAACACGGTATTCAAATCATTAACCACTATTTATACACTAAAAAATAGAAATTTTAACTCCAATTGGGTTATCAAATTAAGATTCTATTTTGATAATTCTACTTTTGGGATGTAAAAATAGTTGTTGGAAATTGAGTTATCAAAAGTGTAACTATCTAAACATCCAATCAAAAGTGGACATGTGGCAATTACAAATAAAATCACCCATAAGCTTCTAATTGATAATTAATTTGATAACCATGGTTAGAGTAGATGAATTTTAATCAATATTAAAATATTATCTCAAATATCAAATAACTATTTGATAATTCAATTTTGGTATTTAGGATTGGAGTTGCTGGTGTATTATTTTCTCTAATTTAATTTCGTAGTAATAATTTATCAATCTCCCAAAAAATTATATATATATATATATATATATATATATATATATATATATATATATATATATATATATATATATATATATATATATATATAACCTGAGAGAGCCAATGGAGAGTGGAAGAAGAGTGAACAAAGTGCATGCTGTTTCGGGCGAACAGCCGCCCGTAGAAAGATCCCGGGATGCCGGAGACAAAGCCACCCTCCGGCCCATTTCCTTTCTCTTTTCGGAGGGTTTCGTAAAACCCCGGAAAAGACATGAAAACCTCGTTAAAATCGTTGCCCGGGAGATCGTTGAGCGAAACCCTAAGCTCCGGCAATGTGGACCCCACTATACCGGAGCTTGTTTTGCAAACTGTATCTATGATTTTGGAGACTGCCATTAGAGTGTTGGGGCCGGAAGAGCAGCCGAGATCTGCTATCCCCATGCTTTGCGGGAGAGTGTTCTGTACTGACTCCGCCACTGCTTCCTCCATTATTGAATTTGCCAGTGTTATTATTTCCCTCTGTAGTTGCTCACACCCACGTACGTACGTACGTCGTATAATTTTTAATATTAATTAAATTCTCAAAACATGCCATAAAAGGAAAAAAAATAAAAATAATAATAATAATAATAATATATAAATAAATAAATAAATAAAGATGCATGGGATCAGAAGATTTTACAACCTGCACGGTGCAATTCTTGGCGTAGCTGGTTTCACCTTCTCCTTTGTTCATGTGAAGGATTTGCGTCACTTCCATTCTCTCTCTCTCTCTCTCTCTCTCTCTCTCTCTCTCTCTCTCTCTCTCTCTCTCTCTCTCTCTCTCTAACGAATGTGGAACAAATTAAAAGAAAATGGAATTGATATCTAATTAATTTGGGTTGAATTGAAAAATACATTTTAGCCTCTATATATATATACATATTTTTAAGTTAACTAAGACCCCGTATGGGATAGGTGCACATCGACACGTTTATAACATGGGATACGGTATTCGAGAAATTTAGAACAATTATTTCGTTTTTAGTACTTTCAAGTATAAAAGTCTGCCTATATTTTTTATATTTTATTAATTTCAGCATTTATTAATTAACATTGAAAACATACTTATACAATGGGGTTAGTTCGGAACTACCCCTATATTTTGGTGGCAAAAAAAATAGTAAGAATATTCATCACCCTCGATTTTTCCTTTTTATGGTTATGAAAGAGCCCGCAGTCAACCAGATATGTGCACTGGGTAAACCTACACTCTCATATGATAGCTTCTAAACTATACGAGAGACGTAAACCAATACACTAGATTAAACACTAGTTTCCGAACTAGTGACCGTTGCCAAGGAAAAAAACACTAGTTTCCAAACATTGAGCACCACACATTGAACATGGTCCACACATGAACAACGTTAGACTTATGCTAATTAAGCCATTGGACCACATATAATATAAGGTGAATTGGATTCTTCCAATAATTTTGTCACACTTTATTCTTTGCGATGTCAGGTCAATTGTTCTAATGCATTCTTCTTCGCGTGACAACAAACGTGGTACAACAAATTTTCTTGCATCACTATTATTAATATTAAGGTTAAATTACACCTACACTCCTCAAATGTGCTAAAATAACTTTAAGGTCCTTATCATATCGGTAATTACAATCACTCTTATGAAACATCGTTATAAACTGTAACATGATAATGCATTAGGTACATGATTTCGATAGATTTCTAACGAACTAATGTTTCAGGAAGTGGTGGAGACAACGTAGAGCCATGTCACTTCAGGAAGTGTTGGAGACAATATCGAGCTAGGGTAAGGGTGAAAGTCGGATCGGAATTAGCCTTTTCGAAAAATTTCCTAAAATTTTTGGAAGTACAAAATCAGTTCCAATTCCAATTCCAAAATTTTTGGAATCTAAAAATTCATTCCAATTCCAAAAGGACCGGAAATTTCGGAATTTCGGAGAAAAAATCGGAAATCAAATAAGTTTTAAAATTTCAAACCTTAACGGATTTTTTTTGAAAATTTCATAATTTTTCAAAAATAAGAATATCCACGTCGATAAGTAAAACTAATAACTACTAAATTTCAGTTTAAAAAAATAAATAAAAATAAGCCACATAATTATATCCCATAAAACTTTTAACAACAATTCAATATGTCAAAATCCTAAAACAAAACTTAAATCAAATTACTGTTTCAAAAAACTTAAAATAAGTGTTATATAGTATAAATTATTTATTGGTTTATTTTCCAGAAGAAAATCGGAAATTTTCAGAAATTAAATCAGATCGAAAATCGAAAATTCCATTTTTTTTATATAATTCCAATTCCAATCCAAAAAAATCGAAAAAAAATTCAATTATCGGAATTTCGGAAGTCGGAATGAAAAAACTTGTTCCAAAATCGGAACTTTTCAGATCGGAACTTGCGGAAATCGGAACTTCCATTCCAACTTGCACCCCTAAGCTAGGGGATGACATGACTCTATGTTGTCTCCACCACTTTCTGAAACTAATAGTCCCACTAGTAGAAATAACGCTTTTTACTACCACTTGAAATCGTAGCAAATTGTCCGAAATTCGTAGCAAAAACCTTTTTGCTACGATTTTGCTACGAATTATGGCCCGTCGCAAATGCAGGCGTGACCAATACTTTACTACGGGAAGTCGTCGTAGCAAATAGTTTTTACTACGATTTCACATAGTATTTACTACGGGTACTTTTTTGTCGTAAATGTGTAACAATTTGCGATTATATTTATTACGGGTTCCATTGTAGCAAAAAGTGACATTTTTGTTACGCACTATCGGCCAATTGGTACGGCATTCCACTGTAGCTAAACATTCAAATCATTTGCTACAACATATACCTTGTAGCATATAATTTCTCTTATTACTACAACTTCTTACATGGTAGTAAATAGTGCGCATATTACTTTTTAGTAAAATATGTTTCGTAACATTAAACCTGAACAAAAAAATTACAGTATCAATTAATAAAATATAAACCTTGAGTCTTTCTTATAATATATTATAAATAAAATCCTATAACAAAAATAATGCACTAAAATCGTTAAGCATATTACATCGGTCTTTTGATCCCAACAAAATAATTAACATAAAATAAATTTCATTTCTATATCAAAACTAGACACCAAGAAGAAAAATTACATGATCTTGACAAAACAAAATATTCATACGCATCGGTAAAGACTATGCACAATCATCTAGATCTCCATAACCTGTAATACAAAAAAATTAAGAAAACATTTGTAAAAAGTGATTTTTTTACAAAGAATAAAATATATTGCATTACTTTGAATGTTAAAGTAAAAAAGAGAGGAATTACATACATTCGCATACTCCCACTCGATGCATTTGTGAACTACTTCTCCAATTGTCTTAGCACCCGAATACGGTTTAAGCAATTTTTCATTTGGTTCCACTATCTTTGCAATATAGACATTCACAAATGAATGTCCAATTCCATCTTCATCATCAATTATATCAACAACAACACCCTCTGCCACAACTTTTTTCGGTATTCCATGACAAAATAAGTGAACACGAGTCCCAATCTAGAAGAACAAAAACGTACTTCCTCAAAATTTTAATCATTTAGTATTCATTTCTAGTTATTTATTAAAGAAGATTATCTGTAAATCAATTATTGTACCTTAATTGGTTCAAAAAAGTCTACCAGGCTCTTTTGTTTCTTAAATCTTGGGCCATCATTTCCCACCTATAAGTTAAATTCAACAACTACATTTTAGATAACATAATGTACAAACACATTAATATGCATATACATATATATATAGAGAGAGACACACACACATTGGAAATGATAGTATAATAGATAGATTAAGTACTTGTTGTTCACGAGCATTTCCAGATTCTCTGGAAGTTGGTTCTCGCAAGATAGATGCATCCTCATCCTAGAAATTTATGTCAAATTTTTGTTAAAGATTTAAAATTTTGGACTCAATTATATATTTGAATACTTACCTGAGAATTGTGTGATTTGTTCGAAGATATTGTAGAGAACTGAGTCATGAATAATTCCAACTTCTGAGTAAGATTATTCATTTTTTCCTTCTCCAAGAGCAATTGTTCTTTCTCATAAATAAATTCTTCTTTCATTTGTAGCATTTTTTCTTTTTCCTCCAACAGTCCTTCTTTAAGCTTTTGCAACTCATCCTTATCTTCGTGTGGGAAGCTCATTGATGCAAGGGTTGCATCAATTTTATGTTTTCTTCCTAAGCATCTCAGATGATTGTGCTTATCTTCTCCCATGGCATTTTTGAAAATTTCTTCTTTGAATTCCTTTGTTCTTTCTGACTCTGGTCTCTTAGATAATTCTCCAGTAAAGAAATTCTATTAAATAAAATTTGGATTATATGGAATAAGTATATATTTTACATTTAAAAATTATAAACTAAGTACTATATGTGGAAAGTTAGCTTACATGCAAATCTCGTATGTCATCATCATCATCGATGCCGTTTGCTCGAGATCGAGACTCCATCCACACATCAAGTCTAGTAGGATCTATCCCATTCATCATCATCTGAGTTAATTATAGAAATATAATTAGAAATATTGTAATACTATATTTTAATTTTTCATTTATAAGTACTGTAGATGTAAAACAAAAGGGATAATTCATACCTCTTGTTCCAGAGCAGCAAATGAAGTCCTCCCTGTTCTATGCAAGCATTGTTTTGCCCCAACATTATTGGCATTTCTTTCAGCAATTAACTATCATTATGTGTGCATAAATTCATTATTATTAAGAAAAAAATATATTTTTAATGCAAAAAAAAAAAAAAAAACATATGGTATAAAAGCTAACCTTTACATTTTTATCCTTCCAATATTCCACTAGTTCCAACCATTGTTCTAACTCTATGCGTTCAGACGGCAACTGAGAGAGATACTCTGCATCATTTTCGTGTGGTAGAAAGTATTTCACTTTAATTTCATGTTTCCATTTCCTCCATATGTCCTTTAGTTCAGCCAATACGACATCCTTCGCATTAGGAGGGAGAAATGTATTGTACTGAAGAATGAATTTTAATCAAGCACAAGTATACAAAATCGAAATTCTCAAATATAATAAAATAATAGATGCAATAATATATAAATGAAAGGAAATAATGATTCATCTAACCTCCACCTCCTCCCAAACCATGTCTCTGAGATATTGTGGTATGTCATTAAATTCCACATAGTTCAGTGGCAATTTAGTCCCTATACGAGCTAAACATCCAATTCCTGTTTTATATTGATTGACTCCAGCCCCGATCACTCTAAAATGTTTGTCCAATGTGACTTCAATTTTTTTTCCTGTGCCCCAACCTTTAGGAAACTGTGCAGGACCTCTTCCTTTTTTAATAGGTACTAATTTATTTGTTGTTGAATTAGTTGCAGCAGGTCCTATCAAAACAATTAATGAACAAAAATAGACCAACTGTGAAATAATTATTTTTTAAAAAAAATTCAAACAATCAATATAGTGTACCTCTACTTGAAGAGGCATTAAAAGTTTGTGTCTCAGGGATGACTTCCTCTTCATTTTGTCGAGAATATGTTTGTGGCCCAGGATGAAGATTCATTTGTGGTTTATTTGGAACAAGTTGTTGAGAACGCGTTTGCTGTGTACCTGGTGAAGAAGGCATGATCTGCTCATTTAAGTTATTCTTTTTCTTCATTACTTGAAGTCTCTCTGCCATCGTACCACACTCTTTCCGATTTCCTTTGCCCATGCTTGCACCTAATAAAATATTTACATTCGTATATGTAAATGACTTTCATCAAAAATATATGTATTCATGCACCAATAGAAAAAAGTTATTTACTAATATTTATTCATCCAAATCATCTTCTACATCCATATCAGTTTCTATTTCATTATGATCAACTGTTCCAACTACCGCATCCACAATAACTCCTTCTACTCCTTCCCTCACCCAACAAACATCCTCATTTCGATTTGGAATACCATCATCAAGTTGTAAACTGCTATGTTTCTCGGCTTCAATAGTGGAATAGATGTCAAAACTATCTCTTCTTGACATTTTTACCACTACATTCCAATCTGACTCCACGGGATCAGCAATATACCAAACTTGTTGAGACTGAGTTGCTAAAATAAAAGGCTCGTCAGTTGGTAAATTCCTCTCATACATAAGATAATTAAAGTTTACAAGCGTAAACTTGAACTCATCTTGTTTAACTCCCCTCTCATTATCCACCCAGTCACATTTAAACATTAGAAATTGAATGTCTTTTGTGTACTGAATGTCAATTATATCAGTTAAAACTCCATAGTAAGAGACATTCCCAGACCGAGGCTTCTTATCTTTAGCACTAGCGAAACTCAATGTATCTGCATTGACAACAACCCCACTACATTGAGTTTTCTTGTGTATATCTTTACTTTTCACACGATACCGATACCCTCCAATGATGCATGCATTGTATTTGGTTGCATGTGGAATTGGCCCATTAGCAAGAGCAATTATTTCTCCAGTAAGTTGTGGATCGGAAGCTTCTTGCAAGCTTTGAACCTGCATTATTTTATAACCAGATGTCAAATAATGACTTGAAAATCTAAAATTTATGTACTAATACATTAATATTTAATTTACTTACATAAGCCTTGAACCATATATAGAAAGTTTGGCTGTGTATAAACTGAATTTCCCTAGGAGTTGCTCGGGGCTTTTCTCTTTTAATTATTACTTGGTGCATGCTGCATGTTTGTCAAAATATAATTGTAAAATTTATTTAATATTTGAAATAATAGATATAATAATTTTAATAATTGAGGCTACTTACTCTCGATATGGTGCAACTGTATCAGCATTTGCGAGCACATAACGATGGATTTGAAGCAATGTATCTTTGTCAATGGTAGACCTTTTTCCCGAGAATAAACGTCGACCCATGAGATTATTTCCGTCATAGTTACGAGGTAGTCGATTCTCCTTAGTTTCAACATCATTAAGATATCTAGAACAGAAGTTCATGCATTCTTCCATTAGATACCCACGCGCAATTGAGCCTTCAGGATGTGCTCGATTACGTACATACTTCTTTAGAGTAGATAGATACCTGATCAATTTATATGTAGATTAATCGTTAACATGCTATTCTTATGCATATAAATGCTCAATAAATATTTTAAATTACCTCTCAATAGGGTACATCCACCGAAACTGTACAGGTCCAGCTATTTTTGCCTCTTCAGCCAAATGTACAGGCAAGTGTTCCATTATGTCAAAAAACGAAGGAGGAAAAATTTTCTCTAGATGACAAAGCGTGAGAACAATCCGATCTTGAAGTTTCTCTAAATCGTGTACAGAATTCATCTTAGAGCATAATGTCCGAAAGAAATTGCTTAATTCAATTAAAACATCAACTACATTCTTAGGCAATGCTCTACGTGCAGCAATTGGAAGTATCTTTTGCATGAGAACATGATTATCGTGGCTCTTTAAACCCCATATAATCTGTTTCTCTAATTGTACATGACGAGATATATTGGACGCATAACCATCAGGAGGTCTGAGTCTCTTTAGCACACCACAAAATATATTTTTCTCGTGTTTACTCATTGTAAATGATGCCGCGGGCAAATATAAAGCTCCATTGCGTCTTGGAATTGGGTGCAAAGAACTTCTGATTTTCAGCAATTGGAGATCCTTTCTCGCATTAAGATTATCTTTTGTTTTACCTTTAACACCTAACAATGTAAAGAGTACATTGTCACACACATTCTTTTCTATATGCATAACATCAAGATTGTGTCTAATAAGATTGCCAGCCCAATATGGCAACTCAAAAAAGATACTTCTCTTTTTCCAAATACTTTGTGTGCTTTCTTCAACTTTCCTCTTTTTGGTATTATTTTGCATCCATCTCTTTCTTACATCCTCTTTTTTATATTCCGTAGGTACGGTTTCTAATTCACGTAGTAAATCTGCCACGGATAGAGGAGTTGGCTTCTGCCTCAGTTCTATTGTCCCATCAAAGGATACTCTATCCCTCCTTAATCTGTGTCCGGTGGGTAAGAAACGACGATGACCACAATAGCAGAATTTATGGCCATTCTTCAAATATTTAGACTGCGTATCTTTACCACAATTGGGACAAGCAAACATACCTTTTGTAGACCAACCCGATATATTACCATAACCAGGAAAATCACTGATTGTCCATAGCAAAGCAGCATGCAATTGAAAAACCTGATCAGCTGAAGCATCATAGGTTTGTACCCCAATATCCCACAACTCCTTTAATTCATCAATCAACGGTTGCAAGAACACGTCAATTTTATTTCCCGGTCCTTTAGGACCATCAATGATAATGGATAATATGAGCGAAGGTTGCTTCATACAAAGCCACGGAGGTAGATTGTATGTCAGTAGCACAACTGGCCAAATACTATTACTAACATTCATTGTTCCAAAAGGGTTGAATCCATCTGTTGCTAAGCCAAGTCTAACATTGCGAATATCACTCGCAAAGGTTGGATTTCTCTCATCAAAGTTTTTCCATGCTTGACTATCAGCGGGGTGCCGAAGTATCCCATCATCTATACGTTTCTCAGCATGCCATCTCATAAGCGAAGAAGTTTTTGACGACATGAACAACTTTTGTAACCTCGGCTTCAATGGAAAGTACCTCATTTGATTTTTTGCTATCTTTGTAACATCATCGACATATCTAGCTCCACCACAAATTTCACATTTATCCAATTTTTCATCTTCACCACGAAATAACATGCAATTATTATGACATGCATCGATAATCTTACATGTGAAACCCAATTCTGTTGTTATTTTGGTGGCTTCATAGCAGTTAGCTGGTAAGTTTACATCATCAGGGAACGAGTCTTTCAACAATTCAAGGAGCAAGTCCACTGAGTGGTTAGTCCAACGACATAAGACCTTCAGTTGCAACAATCGAGCAATAAAAGATAACTTTGTCTGCTTTTTACATCCCTGAAATAATGGAGTCTCAGCATCTCGCAATAATTTAATGAAATTCTTTGTTTCTTCATCAGCTCCATTTAAATTACTAAAGGTCGATTGTTGGTCATTATCCTGCTCCATATTTTTATTCGAAATTCCCATTGCATCATGCAACATACCAGCCATGTTGTCTCGAGAATCGAACATTTTACCATCTTCATTTGAGTGAAACGGAACATATATTTCACCATGACCTGTCCAGTTCTTATATGTAGGATTAAATCCATCCCGAAGACAATGTAACATCACATCTTCACGGATCTTCGTAAAGCGATTTTGACATTTTTTACAAGGACAACAAATTCGAGAACCATTTTCCTTATTCAAGAATGCAAAATCTAAGAATTGAGTAACTCCATGGACATATTCATCAGATAGACGATTAGATAAACTAATCCAACTTTTATCCATTTCAAAAAAAAAAATTGGTAAACTGTTACAAAGAAACATAAATAAATATAAAGAAGAGTCTTAAAATGAAATAAAATTTTTAAAAGAATTTATTCTCTGAATCAAAAAAATTATTCATCTAACTATTAAAAGGATTTATAACATTTATTTGCAAAATCACATATTAACTTTTTATATTTTGAATTACTAACAGACTTATTAAAAGAGTTTTTCATACTCTTAATGCCTAGCAAATTGAAGTTTTACCGCAAAACAAAATATAAATTTGGCAAAGGCAGTAATAGGAAAAAAATAAGAGTCTATCGAGATGAGAATAAGCCTTACCAGCAATTTTTACATAAGGTTCCTTCTTGGCTAAATCCCGTCAACTCCAGAAGCTATCAAAAGCAAATATCTGGCAAAATCTCTCACCAACAATTTCACCACATATACAACTTAAATTTAATTAGAAGGGGAGTATACGATATTCTTGGACCAACAATGAAGCTCGTGAACGAAGAATGGTGTTTGGGCAACTGAGAATTGCAGGTTGGGAAATTAATTGAATTTGGCGGCCGAAAATTTGTCGTTGGCGGCCAAAAAATGGTCTTTGGCGGCATAAGAGAGAAAGGAGGGAAAAGGTGAAAAATTGGCTGTGTAAAGGTTTTGAGATTTTGGTATTTTGACTTTTGAGGGTTTTCTTCTACTTTAAAGCTTTAATATGAATTTTATACTTTAAAGATTTAATATGAATTTTATATTCTTTAGTCACAAAGCAAAGGCCGTAGGAAATACATGTTATTTACTACAGGTATTTGAGACGAGAAAAAGATTTGTAGTAATAAGCTCTTTTTTATACGAGTATTTACTACCACATCAATTCCGTAGTTATTGAATGACCTTTCGTTACGGCAATTTACTACGAAATAAAATTGTAGTTATAGACTGCTTTAGTAACAACATTTTATTTGTAGTAAACAAATTTGTAGTAAAAAGCCTCTTTTCTACTAGTGTCCGTTAGAACTTTATCGGAATAACGTATCCAATGCATTATCCCGTTAGGGTTTCTAACATTTTTTTAAGGCGGTGATTGTAATTATCAATACCACGAGGAACTTAAAGTTATTTTATCATATCTCGGAGTGTAAGTGTAATTTACTCTAATATTAATGATGAAATATCGGAAATGTTTGGAACCACTAATTAGTCTTTGTGCATGTATTATCATTTTATATATTCCCCCAAACAAATAAATTTGCAATTTTAAAATTCAATTTATTGTTGAGATAATTAGAATGTCCACTTATTTTAGTGTATATGTATAATTAGAGAATATAATATTGAGAATAAAGCTCAATTCAGCACCGCGATTACTCATATCAAACCATAATCGAGTAATACATATCATACACATAACAAATTAAAGCAAATAGAAAACCCTAATTTTGCAAGAATTTCGGCATGGAAAATGAATCTGAAAATAGATTGATTCAGACGTAATTTATTGACAATATTGCATAATATTTGTCTAATCTTTATCGATGGAGAGAAAAGATTGTTATTTCCTTGTATGTATATATTCCCTTTAATTTTCTGATTCATGATCTTCTAGTTTAGGGAAGTTAGGATTATGCTTAATGTATTTGTACTACAGAGAAACAGCAAGAAAAGGCAGAATGAGTTTTTTCAATATACTCGTTTTTTACATGGTACCAGAGCGAGGATAAGACTTGACGAAATTCACCATGACTGGTGAAGAAAACAAAAGTGGCGTTGGAGGATCAAACACCACTGATAAGAAGATGTCGGGGCCTTATACATTGACGTCAAACGACAACCCGGGTAATGTTATTACCCAAGTACGGCTGAAAGGCGAAAATTACGACGAATGGGCACGGGCTGTGCGCACATCTTTGCGAGCCAAGAAGAAATATGGCTTCGTTGACGGAACCATCGAACGTCCCACCGATGATTCACCAGATATTGAAGATTGGTGGAGTGTTAATTCAATGCTTGTTTCATGGATTTTTAACACCATTGAACCAACACTTCGATCTACCATATCCTACATGGAAGATGTGAAAGATCTTTGGGAAGAAATAAAACAACGTTTCTCTGTGAGCAATGGACCTCGAGTACAACAAATAAGATCAGACCTTGCAAATTGCAAACAAAATGGGCAGAGTATTGTTACTTACTATGGTCGGCTCAAGTCTCTTTGGGATGAATTGAACAATTATGATCCAATTCCAGTATGTGAATGCGCGGGGTGCAAGTGCAATGTTACCACTAAGTTGAACAAGAAACGAGAAGAAGAAAGAATCCATCAATTCTTAATGGGACTCGACGAAGGTGGATATGAAACAGTACGGTCCAATATATTGAGTGCCGAGTCATTACCCAATCTGAATCGAGTTTACGCCATGGTGGTGCAGCAAGAGCAGGTGCAAATAATGACTTCGACGAAGGAAGAAAGAGGGAACCCCATGAGCTTCGTGGTGCAGGCCGGTCGAAATTCAGGGGGGGAGAGAAAGGAGAAGCCTTCGACGTGCTCGATTTGCAAAAGAAAGGGACACGATGCTGAAAATTGTTTCCAACGAATTGGGTACCCGGAGTGGTGGGGTGAGAGACCCCGTACAACAACTGGAGGACGCGGTAGTACAAATGGTCGTGGTACTCAACAAAATTATGGAAGGGGGCGTGGAGGTGCAGCTCGAGCCCACGCAGCACAAACTCCGAGTTTTGATGGAACAAGAAATATTGTGACAAATTCCGATAGAACTGGAATTACCGGCCTCAGTAATGAACAGTGGTCCGCTCTCCTCAACATCTTGGATTCTCACAAAGATGGTAATACGGAAAGATTGACGGGTAAGAATAACTCGTTACTTTGGATTATTGATTCAGGAGCTTCACATCACATGACCGGGACATATGAATGTTTGACTCATGTGCACAAGATTGCAGCATGCTCTGTTGGATTGCCGAACGGAGCCAAAACTTTGGCCTTGAAAGAAGGAATTGTGAACTTTGGAGAAAAACTTAAACTTCACAATGTTCTTTTTGTTCCTGAATTAAAGTGCAACTTGATTTCTGTATCACAGCTCGCTCTTGATTCTAACTGTATTTTCCATTTCACTGATAAAGTCTGTGCTATACAGGACCGCACTTCGACGATGCTGATTGGAGCGGGTGAACAACGGGAGGGGCTTTATTTTCTTAAAGAGGTCACTCCGGTGCGAGTATACTCGACTACTGCCAACGGATTGTTCGAGTTGTGGCATAGAAGAATGGGTCATCCCTCTCCTAGAATAGTAGATTTAATTTCTGAAGTAAGTTTAAATAGAAGGATTGGTAGCGTTGGAAATAAACCTTGTGACATTTGCTTTAGAGCTAAACAAACAAGAGACGTATTTTTTTCCAGTGAAAATAAAGCTAAAGAATGTTTTGATTTGATTCATTGTGACTTGTGGGGACCCTACCGAATTCCTGCTTCATGTGGAGCTGTTTATTTCTTGACTATTGTTGATGATTGTTCTCGTGCAGTTTGGATATTTTTGTTGAATAGGAAAACTGATGTTGCTTGTGTTCTTAGAAATTTTATTGTCATGATTAAACGGCAATTTGAAAAAAATGTGAAAGTCGTTAGAAGTGATAATGGAACCGAGTTTATGTGTTTACGAGATTATTTTGCCGAACATGGTATTTTGCATCAGACTTCGTGCGTTGGAGTACCCCAACAAAATGGGCGTGTGGAAAGAAAACATCGTCATATTCTGAATGTAGCAAGAGCGCTACGCTTTCAGGCACATTTGCCCATTAAATTTTGGGGTGAATGTGTTCTTACAGCTGGATATTTAATCAATAGGACACCGTCTGTCTTGTTGGAAGGGAAAACACCATATGAGATATTGTACGGACAAGGGCCTGACTACAAACATATACGAACTTTTGGGTGTTTGAGCTATGTCCATGATCAAAATCGAGATGGAGATAAATTTGCTAGTCGAAGTCGCAAGTGCATCTTTGTCGGGTACCCGCTTGGGAAGAAGGGCTGGAGATTATATGATTTGGAAAAAGAGACTTTCTTTGTTTCGAGAGACGTCTTTTTTGATGAAACGCAATTTCCATATGTAGACACGAGTGTCACAAATTCTTCTTTGACCACAGATGAGATTGCGGAATGTTGTGCCGATGACGAATTCAATGACATGGAACACACTACCATCTCGAATTTGGAGAAAGAAAACGCTGCTGAGAGAAGTAATATTGAACAAACAGTCACTTGTGAAGATACTGGAGAAAAAGATAACGGGGGCGATGATGTTGAGCTACCAGTTGTATCTGAAGAGGAACTCGGTAAAGGAAAAAGAGTTAAACATTCCTCTGTTCGATTGAAAGACTATGTGACCAATACAATTCAAGTGAGCCCCCCCGCGAGTTCATCACTCCAATCAAAATCCTCAGGTACTCCTTATCCCATTGCAAATTATGTCAATTGTGACAAATTTTCTCTATCGCATCGTTCTTTTCTAGCAGCTGTTGATACAGGTCATGAACCTAATTCTTATGGTGAGGCAATAAAAGATGAACGGTGGAGAGAGGCAATGAGAAAAGAGATACATGCTCTTGAAAATAGTGGGACATGGACAGTAGAAGACTTGCCTCCCGGGAAGAAGGCAATCGGCAACAAATGGGTGTACAAGATAAAGTACAATTCGGATGGAAGCATCGAAAGATGTAAGGCGCGATTAGTAATTCTTGGCAACAAACAAGTTGAAGGGTTGGATTATAGTGAGACTTTTGCCCCCACGGCAAAAATAGTCACTGTTCGTACGTTCCTGGCTATTGCCGCT